ATGAGCTGTGCATACGCTTACTGTAATACACACAATGGTATGGTTTATCCTGAATCGCTTTCCCAGAGGTGGCTGGCTAGTATCGTCTGCAAAATATGTTCAGGAGGGGAATTCCTGGATCTGTTTAATTTTTATTTTTTTTTTAAATAACTGAAATCTGGATTTTCAATGCTTCAGTACCAAAAATTTGCCCTAGAATGGAGGGTAAAGCTTTACTGTTTCTAGAGACACCACAGTGAAGATGGAGCTAGACCACTCTCTTAAATGCAAATAGAGTTTACTAAGAAACAACGTAAAAACAAGGGTGTTTGGGGTTTTTTGGGGGCTTGGTTTTTAAGATTTATCTTCCCGCTCTTATATGTAAGCTTACTTCCCTCCTGCTGCCTTTGTTCAGTAACTTCTGTGGTTCAGGAGCTCTTGGCACAGTGAGTGCACGAGTGGCAATGGCCTTTTTACTAGGTGAAGCCTGTGACTTGCTGATGAGCTGCCTCTTCCCACTCATGTACGAACCCTCTTCCTACCGACAGCTGGAACTTGTTGAACTATGGAAAGTGAGCAGAGCGGGGCTGAAAGAGGTCCTGAACTTACGGTACACACAGCTGGTAGTTTCTGGAGTATTTTATTCTAGCAAGCTACACTGGCCCCTCTTAAATCTGTCTGAAACCTATTTTTCATTCTGTTCTGGCAAAGAAAGCAACACTTGGAGCTCTTTGAATACCCACTCCTCCCGCTGCACTTGAATGATGTCTTCTTGACACAGGGAAGACCCGGAGCATGTCAGTCTCTCACTGCAGCCCCAGCCACATGCGTCTCTCCCCTCTCCCACGACTGTAGCAGCCTGTGCAGCAAAGCCCAGCTCTGATCTGGCCCAGCTGCGTAACCTTGCCTCAGACTGCTGAAAAAAAAGCTGCAAGAAAGTCTGCAGAGAGATAAGAAAGGTAAAATTACAGAGGAAGAGGCTGTTGAGACAGGATTGCTGGTAGCTCAAAGATTCAGGAGGGAAAGCAACATAGAAAGGTACAAAACCTAAAGGAAGAAAAGAGTAAGGCTAGTCAGGAAGCAACAGGTTGGCTTGCTGGGGCAAGTCATCAGTGCCAGGGGTACTGACAGAGTTTGGCAGAAGATGGAAACACAGCAATGCTGAGGGTCAGCTCCAGAGACCCGCAGGGACTGACCCTTCCTCTCCTGCCTGACACTTGCCTGGCCAGCAAAGCCACCACGGGCACCTCGTTGGGTGAGCATACTCGTGCTTTGCCTCAATAGCTCCTGAAATCCTGCCTTTCTCTTCTGCGGGCTGGTCAATAACTAACTATTTTATGCTCCTAGTTATGTGTGTTCTGTTTACAGATTATCTTTGAGACTGTAACAAATACTTATATTTTCATTTTTTTTACATTCACTAGAAGGCAAAAAAAATTAGCAGAGTATCTTTTTGTCAGTGGAAAAGTATTTCCAACTGGGGAAAGATGAAGCACACCAAGGAAAAGAAATTTTCTATTTGTGCTTGCAAAAAGCTAAAACTATTTAACAAAACATCTTATTTACAAGTAAATTTTCTCTTGGCCTTCTTTTAAACTTTTGTTTATTCCATTACCCTGAAGTGCTTTACCAATATTGCTTAAAAACACCAGCCCTGTGTGTGAATTTCAGGTGGTGAAAATACTGGGGGAAACTCCTACTGCAGATGACTTCTTTAGGATTAGCGGACTGTACACGCAGAAATAATTTTCCATTTTTTTCCCCCTTGGTAACACTAGCATGCTAGGCTCTAAACCAATAAAGCTTCTTAGAAAGCTGCCTGCGCAAGCCGATCTGAACACCTGCAGTGTGCATGTGTGAAGTCTTTAGGGTGCCACATACCTTCATTTTTTAAGTTTTCCAAAAATCTCTTTCTATCCCAGTGAAGCTGTCAAAAGAGATCATGTTATTCAGCCGAAGGGAGTCCGACGAAATACAGCAGAATTCAGACCATGGCTGACATAAGTACTGAGTGAGGAGATACTGTTGAAAAAGGCAAGATAGAGAACTTTGATGGTTAAAGCTTGCCTGTTGACAAGCTGTCCTTTCTTCTGGGACGTGGAAAAAAAATCCAGTAGTATTTTCCTGTGATATGATTTCTTCTTTACTAGAGAAATGGGCTGCTCAAGTTTCTCAGATAGTAGATGCAGTTAGAGCTGTCCTGAAAAGGAAAGACTGACTCACTCCACGTGCAGGCTTTCACACACTCCCTCTGGTCACTACACAGTAAATCTTTGCTGTTCTGACATCGGCTTGGCTTTTCTTAGTAGCTGGAGGAGAAGTTGCCAAACAGAATAGGTTTTGTATATCCTAACCCCTATTCTGGATAGAATTAATGGACCAAGTGTGAAAGCCAAAAGCCTCAGATTTGTTTGGGTTAATCAATGCCAGAATTCGTTGGCTAGGGAATGATACAGATGATCCTTCACAGTTGAAAGAGTACATCAGTGTTGCAAGCGTTTGGAAGGTAACAGCATACATGTCTTAAATGCCACCAAATAAAACACTGGCTTTCATAATAAGACACTGCTGGACAGGATAGGATTGAGTATCTTATTCCAATGCATGTGCAAGTTTGCAAATAATTTTGGAGTGGTTGATCAAAGTAAAAGGAACAGCTGCAGTGCAGTGTGCACGGGAGGAGTAGGAGTAAAAGCTCACATAAATATTCTGGCACATAAAATAGATTTCTCATATGATGTTAGCTGTTTCTGTGGAAAGTGAGGTGGCACAGTTTTAGTCAATCACCAAGCGTGTTTGGTATGGTGGTGGGATTGTGATGTAAATTAAAGCTAGAAGGGAAGAGCAAAAGAGAACTTCTGAAAATTATATTTTTTTCCCCTCAGATAAACTGACAGAGAGTGCTGACCAGGAAAATGCTTGAGACTACTCTGACTTACTCCACAATTATTCTAGCCCAATGCATGCAAACAGGCACTAGCAGAGCTCAGCTGATCAACAGTACTCTGTTGTGCTGCTGTCAGTGCATTGCTTGCACTTGTCTTGCGCCTGCCCAGTGTATTTAATTTAGAAAACAGAGAAAGATAAAAGATTTTGTTCAGTGCCTAAAGAAAGGCTACTTTCTAATCATTAACAACCAACAAACAATAGAGTCTGCACATAATCTTGCACAAAATACTTGTACAAAATCATCCTACATGAATATGATGTTTATCAGTATTCGTTAACAGGTAAAACATTTTAACAGCATGTTTGCAAGTAGGGTTCAAAACAGGTTGTATGCAACAGGATGGAGTCAACATTTGAACAAGCCAGTTGGTAATAAACATGAGTTTTATTATATGTAATAAAAGTATATTACATTAAGACACTGCATTGTTGCACATTGCCTGATAGAAATGATACACACAGCCTTATTGTGTATCAATAAGGCAATGACACACAGGCAAAAGGTACTAATCTGGAAACACTTATCAAATACACTTGGAGTTATGGTAAGAGAGCCAAGTTTATCATGGGGCTAATTAGAAGAGCAAATAGATGGCAAAAAGCCTTTCCAACCTGCATTATTCAAATCTATTACATGTAGCTATGGTAGTATTCATACTTAACTCAGAAAGACTGCTTATTAATTTGAGATTAATTCAGTATGGTGGCGAACAGGAATAATGCAATAAAACCCTTTAAAAGTTTTCTTTATTCATCTTCTCATCCATTGCTTTTTAGACAGGGAACATACCGGGACAGTATTTATTACCACAAAATGGTAAAAATGGCATTTCTTCAGTTACAGGAGTCTAAACGTGTTTAGCAGCACACAGCATGAGGTTTTTTTCTCTTCACTAATAATAAGAGCCATCATTGTCGAGGATATCTTCATTGCATAAGCTAAGGTAAATCAAGTTTCCTGACTTCTGGGTAAGTCCCTTTCGCTAGCTCCACTGAAAACACATTTATTCTCAGTATCTTGCATTAATATCGTGCGACCGAAAGCTCGGGCTGCAGCGGGACCCCAGCTGACCCACCCAGCAGGCTGCCTGGCCTGACGCGGGGCTGGTGGAGTCCTCTGCATACATCAAAAAACAGGTGTATAATGTAAAGGACTGTCTCCCAAGCAAGAGACGGTTCTCCAGGGTGGCACAGCCTACAGCAAGCGAGCCACCCCTTTGCCTACCCAGCACAGGTGGCGAGGCGCAAGAGCCCACGGGGTTACCCAGTCACTGGTCTCTGCAACTGGGCGCACCTTTGGGCACCCAAGACTAGATCAGAGCCCCTCTCCCACCATACGTATCAATACCAAGCTATGTGGAGGACTGTGTGAATGGAAAAACATTTGGCTGAGGAGACACACTAGTTGGTATTTTGTTCTGCTTCTTTTCCAAGGCTTACTTTGGGCAGAGCAGTCCTCCATCGGATACACACCATCGGCAGTGGTGATCTTGCCAAAAGGATAATAAAATCCGAGATTATCTTTAAAGAAATAAAATGCTCAAAGATTGCAGCTGGAAGGCAAACACAGGATAATTTTTAACTCCAGTGAAGTATCACCTCTGGTCTCCAGAGCCGAGTATGTCAGCCAACGCCACTGCACTTGGGAAGACAAAAGGACTTTTGGGCAGCAATTCAATGCTACGAACTGCCAAAGTGACTCTCCGTCTCCATCCTTACTTCTAGAAAACTGGCTGGTGTTTACAACTACAGTGTGCAGACATGGTTACATACAACTCTCCATGCGGGCTGACACACAGAACAACAGAGTTCTTGCATTCAAATCAGATATTTCATCATACATTTCTCACCTGTTTTGTCTGAAAGAATAAGTGACTTCATAATGTGTTTTGAAAGAGTAAAAATTTTATTTTAATAAAAGACAAAGGAGGGAAAAACCCAGACCAAAAAGCAGAAGGCGACTCTGAGCACTTCAAAATAAATGTGAAGGTTTTACCATAACTCATTTGGGTTTTCCCCCAATAAAGGAAGGGCTGAAGGAAAAAGACAATGCATTTTCTTTTTTTTTTTGGGATCTTTTTTATTCAAAAGTTTTCAAAGAAATAAAACAGAAAAAAGCTAACAATCTAATCAAATTTACAGTTCAAAAATGTCTTTTGGCGTTTAACAACAAGTCCTAGGAAACAAAACTACAGAGTTATCTTGAACCGGACAAATAAGTTACCACTGGCAAGTTTGTGGCACTAGTAAAACAAAAATAAAAAATTAACTCTCTTGATCATATAGATATCTCTATGAAAATCTTTTTTTTTCAATCTGTACAAAAGGTCTTTCTTCATAAATTAATTTTTTATAATTTAATGGCTGTCTACTATGTGATGTTTAAGTAACTGATTATTTCTTTATGTACAGAGGTTAAATTTCCCAAATCTTACCCAGACAATGAGTATGGCACTTAGTTCAGACATTTCTGGCAGCAGCTCTTCCCTCCCTCTAACACGGCTATCATACTGCAGTTTTAATTAACGCAAAAACATCCAGTAGTGAGAGATCCAGGTTTGGAAAGTTACCAGATACAGGCAAGGTGCTGCAGGAAGTCTGGACTTTGACAAAGCAGTAATATTCCAGGGAGCATAGAACCAATAATACCACAACTTTTTAAAAAAAGAAAAAACAAAAACACATCTCTTATGACTATGTATTTCACTAGAATCTACACTTCTCAGAGCAGCAATTTACTTTTGAAACTATGAAATGTCACCGACATCTATACTCCAATACTCACACAAAATTTAAAAACTAAAAAATACTTGAAAGAAACAACTGCTTAGCCCTAGCTCCCGAGCTAGGATGATTTGGTCTGTGGAAACAGGGAGGGCCAGCAACCTGTCCCAATACAAAAGGAAATAAACTTTGAGGTAGATAACTGATCATATACAGCTGACCAGAGAAGTACACAGTTTTGGAAGACAACTTAATTTATCATTCGATTTAAAACATATGCAATTGTAATAAAGAGCTTTAGTAGCAGTGAATTATCTAATATGTGAAGTACAAATAACTGTGTATTTATGAATCAGGAATTTCATAGTTTCAAAATTGGTTTTCTTTACACTTAACACTTGTAGTGATGATGTAAAGTGTGGCACTGCTTGGATCCAAGTCTTCCTTCATGCTTTTGTGTCCATACATCGATTAAAATTATAAAACCTAAATGCAAATGTACAAAAAAGGCACATTCTCCTAACCGCAAACTGGTCCGGCAAAAATAAAGAGTACAGAAGACGTAATGCTGAGACAAATCAGAATTATTGGTTACTGGCTCTTTGTTCTTTGGTAAAGTTACCTTTTAAAAGTGCCAAGTCTTTTTCTTTTTATTTACCTACTAAAGAGAGCTAGTACCCAATCAATTATGCTTCTACTTACATCTCAGCGTATGTTTGAAAACGAGTCCTTTAGCTTTTGCCATTTTGCTGTAATAGCAACTTTTCTGTTTGCTAAGTCTCAGCACGATCCTCATCCTAAAGCACTATCATTAGTATAAAGGAAGGACAAAAACATTCGGTGATATCCCCACCCCAAACTCCCTACTCTACCTATGCTAAAACTAGAACATCAAGTTAGTTTCTGAAAAAAGGCAAAAAAAGATTTTACATTGCATCATACAGCAGAGTTCCTAAATCATTCAAACTATCAGAGGGAACTATTGGCATATGGCCTTACAAACAATTTATCCTATTAAAATTTCCCCAGTCAGAAAATGTGTTTCACACAAAACATTTTTCCCCCCTCTTGCATTTCACTACCTTACATATTATGTGAAAAATCATTAAAAACACTTACTACACATTAAAAAAGCCAAATTTTCAGCAATTTTTATTGACTACCTTTAAAAGCCCTATGCTGCTGTTTTACAAGGCATAATAGACCAGCTCATTTGGTCAAAGCATTCTACACCATTAGTTTGGACTACTTACTGAAACAGCTACAGCATTGAAAGATTTAAGGCAAATTGGAATTTATAGAAAAGGATAAGACACTTCACACTACATTAAAAGAAAAACAGAAAGCTAAAAGACCAGACACTATAACTGCAACACTGCACTAAAGCAACACTCACACACTGCAAGCACAGAACATCATCTTAGATGTTTTACTATTTTAAACTTCAGAAAACCCATTTCATACAATTAAGAAAAAAAAAAAAAAGAAACAAACAAAATAAAAATAAACCAAAACACAAATTCTGTCATGCACGTGAATAAGTCTTCGTGGTCATCTGTGCATATCCAGAAATTTGAATATTTTTTTTTTTTTGCGTCATAACACTTGATAAAAATTTTTTTTTTTACTAAAATAAACCTGTTCATGGGAACAGCTACTAGATGAATTTAAGGTTTTTCTTATGCACCTTATAGAACTTATAGCAAAAATAGTTTTAGTTGATTTCATTATAAATAACATTTTCAAGAACCTGTGCAAAACTGTCAATAATTCCTAAAGCACAATTGATCAGTAAAATCCATGATTGTTTCAGCCTTTGCACCCTTCTCCAGGCCAGGTCAACACTGGACACCTGTAACACAGAAAGGTCAGAGCTAGAGCAGAGTTACAACTGCACCCTTTTTTTTTTTCCTAATGTAAAACTACATCATTTCCTATTTCAGACTGCTGTGAGAAGACTACATGAATCTGAGTACAAATTTGAGCAGTAACACAGGGGGCACTACAGGTGCTTGACCCTTCCCAGGACAAGGCTCTCTGTCGGGATACGGCCTGTATGGTATTTCCCCCCCTATCTCTGATACCTGTTCAGCATGCAGAGTTCCTACTGGGGAACTGCGAGACTGCATTCAAAAGGATTTCCTTCTCTGTTGTTTTGCTATTGTTGTTTCCTTTTAATTGACCAAAAGTGGCTGAGTGTGTGAGTTTGCTCTTGTGGCATCTCCAAGGCTTTTGATCTCTGGAAAAAGAACACAACTTTCTTTCGGTGCAGCCTCAGGGAGCCTAAGTACAAGTTACAACAGCAACTCAGAGACAGCTACTGTGCCTCCATGATGGTTAATACTTAACAGCAATTCAGGGCTCATTAAACTTGAAGGAAGACTTCCTAATTTACTATATCGGCTTATATCGCCATATGGGTTTAAAAAAATACCAGGTAACGAAAAAAAGTTTAGACAATTTTTTAATTTCTCTGGGCGAGACAAAGTCTGTTATTTTAAGGTTTGTACATTTATAAACGCAAATATAATTATAACAGGGGCTTTGACTATTTTCACATAGTAGCAATTTTTTAAAAAAGATGCTACAAGTTATTAAATGTAGCCATGAAAGGAAAGACGCCGTGTAATTCTGATTGACTGCATCCACTTGTGCAAATGTGCCAGCTGTCATTTACCTCTTATTTACGGCAGTATGTATACTGACTTTTAATAGGACATTCCCAAAAGTGTTGCACGTGCATTTACAAAGAAGTTTCAATTTGACAATAGTAACGAAGCCACAACAATTAAGAGACCGCAGCGTTCGCTGTATTTAGGGTAAGAAATTACTGTCAATTCCCTCCCCTTCACCTGTCTGAAAAACGACAAGTACCAACATGTTCCAGGGACAGAAATACCAAATGCCATACTCTGAGGCTGAAATCAGATGAGTAATATTAACCTTCCCCACGTGCCCACTGCCATAGCCACTGCTGACAGAGTTCCCTGGCTCCTACCGCATATAAATACAGGTAACCGCACTTCTCTGAAGATTAAAATACGCGGAGGAGTGGCTTACAGCAAAGGCACGGAGCTCGGTATTCTACACAGTCATTGTTATAAAACGTGTCTCAGATGGCAGCACAGCTCATCCTTTTAGGAGACTAAATGTTGCTCCTCCTGCCCGGCCTCAGCCTATGGGAGAGATACTGACAGGGTGCGAGAGAGAGGCAGGACAGAGAGACGACGTGCAGGATTATGCTACCACAGATCTCTGTTGGTAAGGAGGTTTCACATGCCCACAGGGGAGACTTAAGGCAAAAAAAAATAATTCCTTGAAAAGCGATTAACACCAGCCAATAGCCTTGGCACAGGAAACACACAGGAGCCATGATTTTAACACTGGGAGATAGGATAACGAGAAGAGCCTGTGGCTTTGCTTTCTTCCTGCCCTGGATGTGAATCAAGGATGTGGGCTTTCTCTAGACGCCGGCGTTTGGCCAGACTACAATAATAAACACAGGTCATATGTTGCGCTATGCAGACTGTGCCATCTGTTGAATGTGCAAAGTTTCCCCATTGGTTTGTTTCTATCTTTACATTCTTGAACATATAAGAAGTTGTTATGCCAGTAACGGGGATGAGAGCAGTGTTGTCAAATAGCACTGCTGATGTGCAAAATCAAAGGTAATGGCAAAATGTACGTACTGTTAGATCCATACCTTTAGGGAGAATATCACACAATTAGAAGTTCCTGACACATAACTGATCATGATTTTTGAGTATCTAATAAACACCATGAGGGCTGTAGAAAAACCCTTTTAAGATGGCCACTAACACATGATTGCAGCTGAACAGAATTTTTCAGTATGAGGCCTTACAAAATATGCTAAAAAAATTAAGTAGTCAAGTTGCCTGGTTTAAAAAGCACTCAGAAAAAGATGAGTTAAAATTCCAGAATTTTAAAACATGGAAGATGGAGAAGGGGATGGTTAGTGCAAACAACATTTTCAGGATGGTAAACTACAGAAAGCAAAAATTTTGCATGGAAGGAGTCTGGGTAAAGCTAATGATTGTTTAATAAAGAAAGGCCATGCAAGCAAAACCAGAGGAAACCTCCAGTAAGAAAGTAAAACAACTCTAGGATTACAGCCAAGCTAGGATGTGGCTTAAAAATTCATTGACAAAATTCTGGACCAGACTTCTTTTTCCTAGAATAAAGGATGAGCAGGGAAGTTTTCAGGAGAAAGGGTCAGCAAGGATTTCTGCCAGACCACCCCTCTTCCTGTAGTCTGTGAGTTAGTCACAAAGCTGCTTCCAAATCGTGCATGTACCACAAAACTAGAGGATATTATATGTATAAATACAGTTCCCTTTAGCATTGCAATTCTAGTATTTTTGCACTAATTCATTGTTATTCTTGTATACAGCATGCTGCCAAGATGAACAAATTAAAATACAACATCATACAGTTATGCTATAGAAAAATTATTTAAACACTATTACTCATAATTCATTAACTCACTTCTGGACCCTGTGCTTCCTTTCCCAGCTTCTAACTCTGGCCAAGTTCAAATTAACTTCACTGCCTGTCCTCAGATATTATCAGTGTTATTTTATGATATAAAAACAGAATTTTCAAAATAGAGTACTGCAAGTTATGAAAAAAAAAATAATCTTTGAATTCATATCTTTCACATGACAGGAGGAGCCCCTACCTCACAGTTACTTATTTTGCTGATACGTATATGGAGAATGGTCACTGGACGTCTCTACTGTAACCTGTTGTTGACCACTGGCTTCCTGTAAATAAAATGGAAGACAAGACATGAGACACAAAATTACACAATGTTATCTGCAATCTGTATTTCCATGCAACTCATGCAATTAACAGTCTTCAAATCTCAAGTCTTTCTAACATTTCTCAAGCGGGGTATGCCAAATTGGAGGTGTTAACTTTGCATTGATTTACATAGAGAAATAAAATGGTCATGCAAACCTTTTATTTCCCCAGCTGCTTTGATGATAATTTAAAAAGACCTCTGACATTATAGAAATAAATACACAGAGGGAGTTAATAAATGCATTTTCTATCTGCAAATGCAAAAGAGCATTCTCCCCCTCTCCTTTTGAAGGGGCAGCGAGAACGACGAGACCTACTTACCACATGCACAAACACTATCGCTTTGAGTACTGTGGTGCGATTGGCACCAGGCAACACGAAAAATTGTAGTTGGGACTTTGCACACACAACCCCAGAAACCAAGGAATTAATTCAGCTGATAGTGCTCTGGCACTAAAAATGGGGACAGTGCAATGAGCTCATTACCAAAAGCCTTTCCCTGACCCCCATGAGCAGATGCATAAACTGAATCAAACAAGTTCTGGAGTTTCTGGAGAAGCAGACTTTGAAATGAAATGTTTTTTTTTTTTCTTACAGGCTCTGGAAGAGACTGCCTAGCACTCATTCTCAATACAAGAGCTGCAGCATACCTCGTCTAGCTGCTGTGTTAAAAAAGTACTGACCTATGAAAGGGTGTACGGTTAAGTCCAAATAGTAGAAAAACTATTGTCTACCACTTAGTTATGCTCTTCAACTGGACTTGCAGAGCGGTTTATTAGGCAAATATGCATGGTATCCTGAGAGGCCAGGGTAAAATCGGGATTCTTTGCAAAAAGTTACAAACACAGTCTGTTAGCAGAGAAATCTGCTGACAGGAAAACTAAACGGAAGATCAAACTACAGTATGTCCCCTGGACATCTTCCTGTTGGAAGTCAGGTTTCACAAAACACAAAGTTCGTCTGAGCTATGCTCGTATGGAAGACGGCTCCAAGTACTGTACTGCTACAAGTACAGGTCATTCTTTTTATAATACTAGTTACATTAGTTGAGAACAATGACACTTCATAGTTTTAACATACATGGTATTCACAGTACATTCACAGTTACAATGTTAGGCTTTAAATGGTAGTTTTCCTAGCAAAAAAAAAATCTAGTATCATAGTCATGTCTCTTATCACTGGTCTTTTATAAAATATACTGACCTCAACAGGAACTGCTGCTGTCTGGACATGTGTATATTGGGGTATGTAAGCTCCTTGCATAGCTGTTGTGGCTGGCATGTACTAGAAAGACAGAGAGTCCATTAAGTTGTGTTAAAACCCAATGTAAGTTTAAGAGTATTCACTCATGATATTGTTTAATAGATATTAATTGTTTCCCTAAAGCAATATACATGAGAGAAAGACTTTGTGTCTGAAATCAATAGGGTTTTCAGAAAAGTGAGATACCTGTTTTGAGAAAACTCAAATTTAAACTTCCAACACTACGTAGACGACTTTTCTTTTTCTGTTAATCCCAATCATCATCTTTTATTTTTTTAAATCTATCTGCTCAGAAGAGAAGAGTCTTTCAGTTTAGAAGCTAGCCTGCATCTCTTCTTGTTTAGTTTCTGTTCCACACTTCGTATTACTTTCTGCAACTTTGATCTCCTTAAGAGTAAAAACAAATATTTTTTCTTTTTCGGTACAACTCTGGAGTTACCTCCCGGGGTCCTTTCATTTGCTTTCATTTATTTTTATTTACTCATTTCCAATTTCTGATAAGCTAATAGACTGAATAAAAACTGCTGAATATGATTTAAAAATGGGGACAGTTCTTAATGTTTTATTGGATGAAAGACTACTTAAAGGATTACTTTTTTCCTACACGCAAGCTGCACACTCGTACTGTGATCTATACACAGTATTTTCTACTTGTGTAAGTTCTATTTTGTATTAAATTGCTACATACTGTTCCAGTACTGCCTAATGAAAGATGACTCATCTGCTGTGTCAGAGGGCTTATCATCGATGCAGGCTGTAGTGACATGGTGTGGTCCATGGAGGGAGTCAGTACAGCACCCTAGTAAAATAGAGAAAGAAAGAAATCGTTGTGGCAGCACTCACATTTTAATTACATTTTTGATTGAGAGCCTAAGTATGGGCTGTCCTTCCCAGAGGGTGTACCACAAGAACTCTCCTCCAGCCTAGGCACTGACTCAGGAAAGAGGTCTGGGGCGTTCTCAATATTCTCTACTCGAGCAGATGTGTTGTGCACACTTTTGTAATGGGGTAAGAACTGCATTGACTTCCTATTGACTATGCAACTGATGTACAATGCACTTGAGACACCTGCTGAAAACACTTTGTAAAATATGAGTTTAACAAGACGCTAACTTTAAAGCCAAAATCTGTGCACCTTACCAGGTATAGATACACATAGCTTAAGCTTGGGAATCTCAGGCTTTAGGACGAAACTTTTGTCTCATCTTTAGTAACGGAGGTTTTGGAGGAACATTTATGTTAGGAAAACTCTACCCATCACATGTGACGTTCACACACAAGACAGCTGCCCTACTTAACGGCTGGTTTCATTTAGCACACATGTTTTAGAAGAGTGGGTTAGCAATGCTGATTCTTTGTCTAAATACTAGTTACCGTGATGACCTTTCTATCACTCTTGTACCATTTTGTTAACTTCAAAAAAGGTACGTGTCGAACTTGGAAACATTTGAGATTGCTAAATATGGAGAGCACACTCATAAGGTTTTCAGAATAATCTGAAATGGAGGGTTTTCAACAAATTTCATTTTACCAATCATGTTATACGAAAACACATTTCCAAATACTTTGTATGACTTACACTTGCAGAAGTGTTGATTAAAATTGATATAGGCTCAAAACTAACAGAAATAATTGCAGTGTGCTGAAAGCCAGTATTTTGAATCAATAACTAATCCTTAAAAATAAAAAAGAAAAAAAACATACAGAGTATAGTTGGAAAAACAACCATGTGATCAGTGTAGATGAAATGAGTCACAGGCACATCAAACACTGAAAGAATTTCCTGTCTGTAGACTGCGAGCTTCTCTGCAAAGCAAATGAGCAAGACAGCACCAGTCTTTGCACAGGCCAAAACTGAACTTAAGTCAGGAATCTAGATTTTTATTTTCAACACAGAAATCTCATCTTGTATACCTGTGAAACTAATACACCTTATAGCATCATAACATATCATCTTTTGTCTTTCACAGCATGATTTGCAAGATAGTTTTTCATGAAAATCCGTGTTTGTAGAGAGAAAAGTTAAAAACAGTTGTGTGCATGTGTGTTTAACATCAAAAAACACAAATACAACAACAACGAAGTGTGTGAGAGAGTGTTCTGGTTCACTATCACCTTCTTTGCATGCACAAGGAGAAAATGTTCTGCCAAGGAGATTTACATTCTATAATCTGCATGGAGAGGTTAATTAAAGTCAAGACAACATCCTTTCTATATCTGGAAACAGACTTGTTTGTTAACTACAGGAGTGCATATATTAAAGCGCCTGTTGTTATTTGTAATGCTCAACTCCAGAAACCTAATAAGTCTCAGATATAATGGTATCTAATTGGCAAATGACATAGATAAGAAGAAAAATATCATGGGAGAGTATAGATCAGAATGCCTGACAGTCTGGTACAGATGCCACAGCCAAAAGGGTAGGGAGACGAGCATTACTCATGAGCGGTGAAGCCAGAACAAGCTATGCAGGTTTTCTAAGTGAGTGCCCGTAATGTCATTTGTATCACTACATCCATCTGTCTTTTCACAAATTATCCAGTCTGAACTATTCTAGACCCATTCTAAAACCTTGGGTCTTCAATTCCAGTTCCTGGTAAGTAAACAGTATGTAAAACATTGGTATTTGCAAAGTGATTTTCATTTAAATAAATAAATAAATAAATAAATGAAAAAAAAAAAAATTTTCCTCAGGATGGTGACTTGGTAACTCTTAACTGTCCTCATCACCTCAATACCCTGAAGGCAATAAAATGAGGCTCCAATTCAGGTTACTTTCTTTGTTTCTCTTTTCATTTTGATCCATGATTTAATCATGATGTAATTGTCAAAACTCTGGAAGTAATTGGGCACTAACTGACCTATATCCTGATGGTTACAGTATGCAAAGTGTTTATACAATCAGTAACACAAAACCAAAGAAGAATAAAAACTTACTGGGTGCTGCATTATATATGGTTGAGGCTGCATCCAAGAAGGACTCTGAACCTAGAACAAAATCAGTATTTCATTTTTCATTTTAGTCTTTGTTTTCCTGAGTACTCCAACTGAGATATAATAATAATTTAATAAACCACGTTAACAAGCCCCCTCCCTTATTTATTCACATTTTAATGCAATCAGTCACTCTGTGGAGCAACACTGATTTATATAAAGTGTATTTCTTGTACCTGTAAATCAGAAACAAGATTTGGAGACAATGTACCACATACACCTTTCAGAACAGTATATCATGGGTTCAGTGGAGGTCTCAGGAACTTCTATCAAGCACACTGAAAGGGCTCAAATAGATGCATGACAGATTTCTACTGTGTTGAAAAAGGAGGCGCATTCTGTCTTTGAAATTCTTTTGGGGAAAAGCAGTTGGGATCTCAGAAGATATAGCATCATTTACCTTCTAGTGTGATCAGAATAAAATGAATTGTGGGATTTTCACAAGGGAAAAAGAAACCAGGAATTCTGCAGGAACAAGGAGAAGATTTAGGAGAATTGTTCTTCTCCGTGACATTGTGGTATGTTCTTCCCAAAGCAGAGGAAGATGAGAAGGTCCTGACG